CGAGAGGGCAGGGCCCCCCTCATGGTCGGTCCTTTGGGAGAGACTGAGGCATGCAAAAACAGCAGGGAGGGTCTAGGAAGTGATTGGTCTAATTTCAGTTTAAGTGAGAATATAATCCTAGCACTTGGGAGCCTGAGGCAGGAGGACCACCATGAGTTCAAGACCAGCCTGAACTACATAGTGAGACCAGGTCTCAAAAAAAAAAAAAAAAAAAAGTGAGAATAATCTCCTAGGAGCTGGGCATGGGAGCCCCAAGCTATAAATCCAGCACCAAAGGACGGAAGCCGGAGGATTGCCGCAAGTTCGAGGCTAGCCTGGGCTACATAGCAAGACCCTGTCTCAAAAAACCAATTAAGACCAGGCGTGGTGGTGCTCACCTGTAATTCCATCACTCAGGACGCTGAGGCAGGAGGATTGCTGCGAGTTGGAGGCCACCCTGGGCTACAAAGTGAGCTTGAGCCAGCCTGAACTGTATAGCGAGACCCTGTCTCAAAAAGGCAAAGATAAACAAACAGGGCTGGGGATGTAGCTCAGTGGCACAAGCGCCTGCCTGGCAAGCGTAAGGTCCTGAGTTTGATCCCCGGTACCACACACACACACACAAACCATTCTCTAGGCATGGCATGGTGGTGCCTGCCTGTAAACCAGGAGGATCACACGTTAGAACCCAGCAAGGCGATGGATTGAGATCTGTCACACAAGAGGCGGGGGTGGCTGCGATTGTATCTCAGGACAAAGGCCCTGCTTTCGGACCTTAATAAGCTCTCCCAGAGAAGGAATACCTTCACGACTACGGTCTCCAGGAAAACAGACGATTTTTTTGATAGGTCTGGCCATGTGGTCCAGGCTGACCTTGAGCTCTCCTTGTAGCGCGGATGAGGGGTTACAGGCATGAACCACCGCGCCTGGCTAAAAGCAGGCTGCTTGGAGGGTTTGTGGCCGCGAGCTCCCGGCCACTGGGGGCCTCCAAAGAGGACAGCCTCAGGGAGCCTGCAGGGCAGAGTCCTCGGTGGGGCTGTTGCAGTTTAAGGACCCCTGGGAGGTGAGTATGTGCTCTGGAAAGAGGCTGGTCAGACCCGGAGCAGGGCCTTGGCGGCACTGCCAGCGCTGCAAAAGAAAAACTAAATTATAAAATGTAGAGGCTGGCCGGCCACAGGCTGACGATACACCGGAGGGCAACACCGTTCTTCCTG